CTTCCCTACACAGGCCTCTGCAGTTTTTTTTCTAAAAAACCCTCCTGACCTATTAAAATCATATTCTCCCTTTCCCCAAACCAGCATCATCAATCTACCTGGCCCAGGTTGCCCTTCAGTCCCCAGTAAACTTTTTGGAGATCATGTATTTTGTTCCCTGATCTGACAGTTACTCCCTTAGCATTTATTTCCTATTTTTTTACATTTAAGATCGCATAACTACCTCATGTATATTCGACTATCATTATCTGTTAGGATGTTTTCAGCTACTAGTCATAGAAGCCCTGACTCAGACTGACCTAAACAGAGGTGAATTTTTTTTATTTCATATAACCAAAGTCCAGAGATAGGACAGATCCAAAGATGATTGCCTCAGTGGTTCAGCAATGTCATTAAGGACCCAGGTTCTTTACTTACCCTCCTCTCCTTGCGCCTGGCTTCATCCTTAGAACAGTGGTAAAATGGCAGCTCTAGATGTTAAATCCAAACACAGGAATACCCTAAAGAAGAAGAGAGACTTGCCCCAGCCGTGCAGTGAAGTCCTTCCCTCCAGCTGGCTTGGATCACAAGCCACGTCAGCACCAACAACAGTCACCAAGGGACCCCAAGCTCTGCCTGTCTGAGGCTTATTAGAATTCACCCCTGTAGTTTAGGAGGGATCAGCTTTTCCCCAGCATCCCAAGGCCAGATTTACCTAAATAAAACCAGGGCTATAGTTAGAAAGAAAAAGAGTGGATGCTTGTAGGCCACAGTAGTGTCTACTTTAATTCTCAGTTTTCTTGTAGAAGGAAGTGGGGCCTTAAAAAAAGAAAAAATGTTTCTTCAGTTCTTTACCAAAGAGAATATAAGCCTAATTTGTCACTTCTTTTTTATCCACAGCTCCTTCATTCCCAAGTTCATCACCCACCTCTTCAAGTGCAAGCCAATTAGCATGGTGGGAGCAGAACAGGTAAGACGAAACTGGGATAGGACTGTTCCTTATGGCTTTTGTCGTAGATCAAACTGCATAACTTCCTAGTACAGAACTACTGTGGAGAAGTAAAATCACTGATTTCCCTGTTTGAGGACAGAATGATGACCTGGCAGCTTAAATTATTCATCCATTTATTTAAAACATTTTCATTGAGCACCTCCTAAGGTGTTTGTCCTTAGACAAGTTGCTTAACCTTCCAGGGCTTTAGTTTCTTCCTCTATAAAATGGGGATACTCACAGCAGCGCCTCACAGGGTAGTTGTGAAGATTAAACAAGATAATGCACTGAAGTGCTTGACCCAATGTCAGGCACATGAGAAGCCCTCAGCAAATGCCAGCTGTTACTACTGCTAGTTTGTTTCCACTGTCAATGCCCATCTCCCCACATAGAAACATCTAGTTGATGCTTGCCGCGGGCTGTCTGGCTGACCAGCTTAGCAGAGTCAGAAGTATTGTCTCAGCAACCTTCCTGGGAGGTTGTGTGGATTCAGACACTGACCGATTGTGTCTGAGTGTAGAATTTCAGCGTTTGGAAGTTCTTACCTCTTGCATGTCATAAACACAGAACGAATTCTGTCCTCGGGAAACAGCAGAATAATGCCCCGGCACGCCCAGTTTCATTAGCACATGTTTATCGGGAATCCACTCTGTTCACCTCACTTTTGTGTGTGATAGGAGAGGACGCAGAGTGATTACTCTCTGTGTGTCTGAGAGAAGCTTTAGATTCTCAGTTACTAGGTTTCTGTCTCTAGACTTGATGAAGCCACTGGAACACAAAGTTGACTCATTGGGAGCATGTTTCCATGAGTTTGCAGCTCTGCCCAGGCCTTACAAGCTCATTTAGTGTCCAGCAGCATGATATTTTCATATTGTCACATGAACCCAATGTCATACCTGTTTTCCTCAGATTTTCTCTTCTTTAAAAGAATGTTAAAATAATCAGCTCAGACTTCAAAGCCCGCACCTTCAGAAATATATCAATTTGGCCAGTATTTACTTCTGCTTTGAGATGCGGATGAGAAAACCATCTGTGAATCTGGGTGTTTTACTTTCTCAGACCCCAGACAAATAGGAGTGGGTGACAGCAGAGCATAGATCTCAGGAGGCCCAGCCTAGGGGAGGCCGTGGGTGAGAACTAAAGGTAACGTGGCCCTTGGAGGATTCCCACGTGAAGTTCACGTTTAGCTTGGGTCCGTGCTTGCCCTGAGTATCCGGCCTTAGAAAACCAAGCAGTCACGGAGCTGGAGGCGTGATCACTCAGGCAGCAAAACCATAGGAACCAAGAAGTTAACAAAGAGAAGTTCACAGATTAAAACAGATTCTGGGGCTTCCCTGGTGGCGCAGTGGTTGAGAGTCCGCCTGCCGATGCAGGGGACACGGATTCGTGCCCCGGTCCGGGAAGATCCCACGTGCCGCGGAGCGGCTGGGCCCGTGAGCCATGGCCGCTGAGCCTGTGCTCCGCAATAGGAGAGGCCACAACAGTGAGAGGCCCGCGTACCAGAAAAAAAAAAAGAAAAAAACACAGATTCTGCTGCAAGTCTTGCAGTGGCTGTAATCCAAACTTTAACGAAAGCTGTGAGAGTCAAAGCAAAGACTGAGGCCTAATCTCAGATGCCTCTGCTTTGCCACAGAAGTACTAGATCCTAAATTTAGACGACACTTTAATACTTGTGCCAAAAATAGGAAGGGAGACGTTTTCTTGCTCTTGATTCTCTTCCTGATTACTGTATAAAGTAAATTATTTCTCTTTGGGCCCCAGAGTCCACTTGAGCAATTGCAAGGGCACGTGGAACTGAACCATACAAGCATTTGTAATGCTTCTTGCTAGTTTGTGATTTTCAGAGAATCTTGTGGGATTTGCAGGGTCATTAAATAGTCTTTTGGCCACAGTATCTATGACCGAGCACACAGTAGAAAAGGAATCCAGGGGCTTCCCTGGTGGCGCAGTGGTTAAGAATCCGCCTGCCAATGCAGGGGACACGGGTTCGGGCCCTGGTCTGGGAAGATCCCATATGTCGCGGAGCAGCTAAGCCCGTGAGCCACAACTGCTGAGCCTGCGCTCTAGAGCCCACGAATCACAACTGCTGAGCCCACATGCCACAACTACTGAGGCCCGCATGCCTAGAGCCCATGCTCCGCAACAAGAGAAGCCACTGCAATGAGAAGCCCGTGCACTGCAACGAAGAGTAGCCCCCACTCGCCGCAACTAGAGAAAGCCTGCACGCAGCGACGAAGACCCAACGCAGCCCAAAATAAATAAATTTATTTTAAAAAAAAAGGAATCCATTTGCACAAACTACTTACCAGAGAGGAAGCAGCACATTGTGGTGTCAGGAAAAGGACCCTAAAACTTGGGGTCCAGTCCCCGCTCTGCTTTTAATGGTCTCTGTGATCATGAGCAGTTGCTTCCTTGCTCTGAACTCAGTTTCCTCATGTTTAAATAAGAGCCCTGAATCAGACCCTCCACACACCTCCTTCTAGATCTATTGTATTGTGGATCTAAAATATTTTGAGGGGACTTCCCTGGTGGCGCAGTGGTTAAGACTCTGCACTCCCAATGCAGGGGGCCCGGGTTTGATCCCTGGTCAGGGAACTAGACCCCACATGCATGCCACAACTAAGAGTTTGCACGCCTCAACTAAGGAGCCCATCTGCTGCAACTTAGAGCCAGCGCAACCAAATAAATAAGTAAATATTTTTTTTTAATTCTTAAAAAAAATAAAATAAAATATTTTGAGCAATATAGTTCATGTCTATGAAGTATAGACATGAACTATATTGCTCAAAATATTTTAGATCCATAAATATTTTCCTTTGAATTATCTTTATATACCATGTTGACTTTTTTTATTGTGGTAAAACATACATAACATAAAATTTAACATTTTAACCATTTTAAGTGTACAGTTCCTAGTATTAAGTATATTCACATTGTTGTGCAAACGTCCACCATCCACTTCCAGACCTTTTTCATCATCCCAAACTGAAAGTCCATTCCCATTAAACACTAACTCCCCACCCCTCCTGCCCCTGCTGCTGGCAGCCACCATTCTCCTTTCTATCGCTATGAATATGACTGCTCGAGGGACCTCCTATGAGTGGAATCGTACAATATCTGTCCATTTGTGTCTGGCTTATTTCACTTAGCGTGCTTTCAGGGTTTATTCATGTTAGTATGCTTCAGAATTTCCTTCTTTTTAAGGCTGAACAGTATTCCATCATACATATTACCGCATTTTGACCATATTGACTTTTGTAAAAATAAATTTAGTTAGTTTTTAAATAACGTGATTTTTTTTTTAACATCTACATTTCTTTCTATTCATTCATTCATTTTTTATTTTTGACTGCGTTGGGTCTTCGTTGCTGCGCGCAGGTTTTCTCTAGTTGCGGCGCGTGGGGGCTACTCTTCATTGCGGTGCATGGGCTTCTCTTTTCGGTGGCTTCTCTTTGTTGCGGAGCACGGGCTCTAGGCGCACGGGCTTCAGTAGCTGTGGCAAGTTGTGGCACGCGGGCTCAGTAGTCGTGGAGCATGAGCTTAGTTGCTCTGCGGCATGTGGGATCTTCCCGGACCAGGGCTCGAACCCATGTCCCCCCGCGTTGGCAGGTGGATTCTTAACCACTGCGCCACCAGGGAAGTCCCTAAAGACCATTTTGAATCTCTTAACTACCCAACTGCTCACTTTTCTCTGTCTCAGTAAGCTCTGGCCCGTCTTGAGTTTTATGAGGCCATCCTTCCCACTGAGAGCTTGAAGCCTCTTCTGTCACCCAGTCAAAAGGGTCCTCCCTTTGTGCCACACAAAGAGACAGGCACAGCCATTCTCCACAGGGGTTTACAAGCATTGGCAGGGTCGCCAAGGTCTGGAGATGGGGAGACCGAGCCAGCTCATGAAAGAAATGAATCAGTTAATGAAAAACAGTATTGCCATAAACATCACACTTAATGGTCAAATATAGAAAGATTTTCTCTCGACATTAGGAACAAGACAAGGATGTCTGCTGTCACCATTTCTATCCCACATTGCCCTTGAAGTCCTAGCCAGAACAATAAGACAAAAAAATAAAAGAAAGTTTAAAGAAATAAAAGGTACACAGATTAGAATGGAAGAAACAAAACTGTCATTTTTCACATTTCACAGAGAACGTGATTGTGAATGACAATATCCAAAAGAATCTACAGACAAACTATTAGAATATAAATTTAGTAGGGGTGTGAGATATAAGGTCAGTATTTAAATTATTTTTAATATTTGCATATAACAGCAACAAACAATTTAAAATGAAAAATTTTTAGTGAAACCATATACAGTAGCATTAGGAGACATTAAATAGCTAGGAATAAGTCTATTAAAAAATGTGCTAGTCTTTTACACAGAAAATGATACAATATTAAGAGACATTAAAGAAGACCTTTAAAATGTCAGGAAAGCTCATGTTCATGTATTAAAGGACTCAATATTTTTATTTATTTATTATTATTATTTTTTGTGGTATGTGGGCCTCTCACTGTTGTGGCCTCTCCCATTGTGGAGCAACAGGCTCCGGACGCGCAGGCTCAGCGGCCATGGCTCACGGGCCCAGCCACTCCACGGCATGTGGGATCCTCCCGGACCGGGGCACGAACCCGTGTCCCCTGCATTGGCAGGCGGACTCTCAACTACTGCGCCACCAGGGAAGCCCAGGACTCACTATTTTTAAAATATGAATTCTTCCAACATTAATCTCTAGATACAGTAAAATCCCAGTAGGGGTGGGGTGGATGTGGGTGTGAATGGGAATTGATAAGTTGATTCTAAAAGTTGGATGGAAGTGCAGAGACCAAGAATAGCTAAAATAACTCTAAAGAGCGAGCACAGAGTTGGAGGATTTAAGCCTCAGGATACCAAGACTTATTTTCATGCTGAAGTAATTCAGCACACAGGGACAAATGGGCCAACAGAACAGAGTCAAGTTCAGAAATAGAGCCACACATACATA